AGAAGTTCAGCACTTCCTGGGAATTGAGGTTGAGAAAACCTCACAAGGACTGTTTGAGTCAGTCTAATTATATAAGGCAGATGTTAAAGAAAGTGAATATGTCAGATGCCAAGGGCTGTCCTACTCCCATGGTTTCCTCACTTCACATATCAAAATTCAATGGAGAATCAGGGGTAGATGGTACCCTCTATAGAAGGGTTGTTGGAGCCTTGCAATATGCAACTATTACAAGGCCAGAGATCAGTTTTTCAGTCAACAAGGTAAGTCAGTTCATGTCTAATCCTTTGGTTCCTCATTGGAGGGCAGTGAAGAGAATATTAAGATATTTAGCTGGAACAATCGACCATGGACTGCATTTCATTAAGCCAAAACACCTTAACTTAACCGGTTTTTCAGACTCTGACTGGGCAGGGGACTGTGATGATAGAAAGTCCATGTCAGGATCTTGTGTTTTTCTTGGTGGAAACTTAATATCTTGGTCAGCTAAAAAGAAAAACTCCATATCAAGGTCAAGCACAGAATTTGAGTACAGAAGCCTTGCACACAATGTTGCTGAGATTACCTGGCTTCAGTCTTTGATGAATGAGTTGAATATAAAAGGCTCATCTATTCCTACTATCTGGGTAGATAACCTTAGCACCATTTATCTAGCTACCAATCCTATCCTACATGCTAGAACCAAACATATTGAATTGGACATTCATTTTGTGAGGGACAAGATTGAAGCCAAGGCAATTGCAGTAAACCATGTACCCTCTTATGATCAAATTGCTGATATTATGACAAAGCCTTTGAGTCTTCAATCCTTTGCTCGTCTCAGAAATAAAATGCAAGTGGTTTCTTTGAGCTCGCTCGAATTGAGGGGGCGTGTTGAACACCGAGTCAAACCTGTGCCACCTCAGACTTCACTTTCCACATCACAGTCCAATGGTGAAAGGACAAAGAGGGCCCTGAGCTACTGTGGTCCCATGCAGCATGCAAAGAGCACACCAGGATGATGCCACGTGTAGATAATCCTAGGGCTCTAGTTGTTAGTTGTACAAAGTGAGAAGTGATCACATGTTGCCTTGCATGTATAAATGCAAGTTCTGTAACCTAGCCATATAAGGAAAATATTGCTTTATCTGTTTTTGTATTGAATGAAGCTTAAGCTGAAAATGGAGAATATTGATCTTGGGAACATCTCTTCTTTTCATGTTTTGATCTGTTTGTTTTCACTAGGAGAAAGCACTCTATGTTAAGCGGTTAATTTGTTCTCAGGTCTATCGAGCCTCTGTTTATTATGTATTCATTGTCAGTCTGGCTCTAGTGAATTTCTGACGTATATTCACATATGTGTGTTGATCCAACAACAAAAAGCTCGATCACTGCACCATAGTTATGTGAAGGATGGAATCTACCTAAAACCAAGCAGCAAAAATCCATTAACTTTTGAAAGTCAAGATTGGGGAGAACTTTTATTGGGCATATGGTAGCAAAAAGTCTCATTGTTATTACATTTGTGCGGGTCAAAAGCTGTCAGCATATATAGGATTTTCATGACAAAGCCATAGATTTTATGCTAAGTCAATATATTCCAAAATCTTGTATTGCAAAATGAGAACAATTGTTAACACATAATAAGGTTTGCACTGTAATTGTTAGTATATGCTATTTACTGTCTCATTGTACGGTATATAAAATCAAGATTAGATTTCATATGGCAGTTTTTATTCAAGTTTACTGTTAAATTAGTGACCAATATATATTATGACATATGTTCACATATATTATTTATGATATCATTTTGTGTACGTAGTATATTTATTACGTTTGATTGAGAAAAAACAAAGTGAGGTCAAAAATGTGGAAATGAGAATCTTATCAATTTCTTGGTAAATTTATCTCCTACTAGTCCACTACCTTTATTCAACTTTATATCCCACTAGTTCAAAAGAATTATTACTTTTGTGCATAATATATAAATCATGTTTATTGTTTAGTGCATTTAATTTTGAGGTATCTATTACCATATAATAGCAATAAGGAAAAATATAAAAATAGCATGACAATTCCCGCTCAAATTTTCGGATTTTACTATTAATAGAATTATTTTTTAAAATTTTTTGGTTTCACCCACCCATGATTTTTTTTGGAATATTTAGACTTTTTTTTAAAGTAACATAAATTATCTTTTTTAATAGATATGCATTCCATCTTATCTTGATGTCCATACTTATCTCAATTTTATCCTTGTTTTTTTTAATGTTGTTTCTTTTTTTTTGTGGGTATTGTTTTGATTTGATTTTAATATCCTTAATTAGATATTTAGAATTATTAATAATGGTAAAAGTCAAATAAATTGTTAGAATATTCTATTCTAAATTCTTCCTATGAAGCATGACAATTTTTTTTTTCTTTCCTATATTATTTTTTCCTTTTCCAATATTACGTCTTTTTTTTTTTACTTTTAAATTTCAAATTCTCAATATGTCTGAGATAATTTTCCTGTTTCCATTTTAACATTTATTATATACAAATTAAAATATTTATCAATCTTTTCAAAACATTGGAATCACTTTACTAAACTACAAAAGAAAATTTTAAAGTACTCCTAATTTAAATAATATCAAAATTTCTGAGAATACCCGAAAACTATGGTCAATTAAAAGAATTTGGAATTATAGGATAATTACAAACCATAAACGTAGCAAATAAATTATATGATTATAATATCTATATTATTTTGAAATCAATATTTCATCAAGTAGTTAAGTTTTCAGACATACTTAAAACCTCTTTAATCTATGTATAAGTAATTACAATAAAATAATATGTCAATCCTTCACATTTTTATTTTGTGTTCATAGACTGGACAATAAAATAGATACTTTTTAACTAAAACCTTTATGATTACATATCATGCTTTAAAAAAATATCTATTTATAAGTTAATAATAATAATAACTAAATAAATATTAAGCTTTTAAGTTTGAATATTTAATATTGTATTCAAAGTCCTTTACATCTCTGATGTTATGTGGAGCCTTCTTAATTTTCTTTGGAAATATTATAAAAAAAATTGAAAAATCCTGCATTTGGCTGATATATTTATGGGATGTCCTGTCTAATATGCATGATAATTAATTAGTTGCTTATTTTTTTATAGAAATTAATTAGTTGTTTTATTTGAATGATAACTAATTATGAAAAATGCATATTAGAAACCATAATGAGATGTTTTAAATATAAATAATTATATTTAAAATAAAGTTAAAAAAAAAGTTTTAAGAAATAAGTTTACCCGTGCATCTCACGGGATACACATTAGTTTTCAATATAGTTGATACTAAATATAATCTACCTAATAGATTTATGGTTGGAACGAGCTATTGAATGTAATTTTTTAAATAGTTAATAAAGAAAGAGCTGCAATGTATATGAAAAAAAGTAGAGAAAAAATCATGAAAGTATTTGAATATATTGACTATTTATCTTCCAAGGTTGGTGAAAATATGAAATGATATAGTCCCCAAGTCCAAATTTTATCAAAGAATTTATCTACTCGAATAGGACTTTCTATAATTTAAAATATCAATTACAGCTATATATAATTTAAAACATCAATTGCAACTTTATAATGAGCATGTAAGAGCATGTGATTATTTTGTCAAAATGAACGAACATGCGTGAATGTAATGTTCACGGAATTCAACTGAAAACATTATCTTATAATCTTCACCAAATCAGATGTCAATTGCTTAAAAAAGACATTAATAACAGAAAAATTAAATTATAACTTCATAAAACCGCAATCAAATAAGAATATAGAACAGTTAATAATCGTGTAACACAAATATGAAAGCTTTCACTATTCTTTTGATTATTATTATTACCTGCTTTGACTTTTTCTATATTAATAATGGCAGATTATGTCTATTGTTATTCATTTAATAAATTGTCTTGCATTAAAAAGATTACACAACGCCGTTGAAACTAATGGGTTTTAAAATTTGAAATTAAGCCGACCATACACATAAGCCATGTGATTAGACAAATCATATCACCTGGAAAAATAATATAAAGTTAGTTCAAAAAATAATATATTGTATCCCCTAAATCTGGTAACTCGATTATCGTATATGTCATGCATCAATTTCCTACATTAGTGTTTGAATCTTGTGATAGACTCAATTATTGCAAATTACATTACATCTTCTACTAATACATAATATATTTCATGCATCAAATTTGTGCATTAGTGTTTGAAATTTGTGATAAGACTCATATTTGTGTTCCAACACTCAATTCACAAAATTTTGTTCGAACAATATATGAACAAACACTTCAAACATAATCAAACTCTACATTATATAATATTTCATTATGTATCAAATTTGTGCATTAGTGTTTGAAATTTGTAATTAAGACTCATATTTGTGTTTGAAAACTCAGGTCACAAATTTTTGTTCGAATAATAAACAAACGAACATTAATCAAACATAATCAACACGAGCTGTTTATGCATCATCAATTTTGTGCATTGGTGTCTGAAACTTGTGATTAAGACTTGTATTTGTGTTCGAACACTCGAACACAATTATGCTCTAACAATAAACAAACAAACACAAAAATTGTTCAAACATAATCAAACACAAGTTCGAAATGCTCAAACTGGCTTGTTCGGTTGAATTCCAACACTAGAATATAGATATATACAATAACAACAACAACAACATACCTAATATATTCCCAACAGGTTAGGGTCTGGAGGTCAGTTGTACGCAGACCTTACCCTTGTAATTATACAAGGAGACTGTTTCCATAGCGCCCCAAGGTGCATTGCGCTATTTGATATATATTTTTTTTTCTAGAAACTTCACTAATAGAAGAAGCACTAGAATTTAATTGAGTCATTTTGATCTAGTCCATTATTAGCACTATGCCAGGAGAATTGTCAACAATGACTCTTCCAGCTCTATTTGCAATGGACAAAGAATATAGATATATATGACGAAAAAATCAGCTTCTTTATTAGACCATTGTCCTGTTTTCAAGACCAAATACACATAATTCTGCAGTGATGATGAAATCTTGATTTAAACACCAAAAATGAGAACACATACCCAAAAATACTATAGAAAAAAAGAAGAAGGGTAAAATAGATTAAGATCCATATCTAAAACTAGAACTTGTACAACATATTAATAATCACACACTAACACATATATATATATATAGTCAGCAAAATCTATATAATCCACTGTAATACTGGCACGTGCTACACAACTTGCCTTTCTGCCAACACAAACACATTCGGCGAGCCGCTTCCGGCCCAGCCGCCGCAGCCAGTGGCCTCAACAAGCCCTGGAAAGACTTGGACTCGGCCCAAGACGATTTCGAGCAATTGGGCTGAGAAGGCAGCCCAATAGACAGCTCCAGGTTGAGCCCATGGGCAGGGCCCTCATCCTCGGCAGGCGGTTGGAACTCCTCGGTTGTGCTGCTGTTGCATTTGGCGTTGTCTGCTGAGGTGGCGCTATTTTCTTTCGAAGGGGATGGGTCGGTTGACCGCCGGAAGTCAAGGCAAGTGGCGGCAGCGGCAGTGGTGGTGCCGCCAGGCGTGGTGGTGGCAGAGTTGAGCGGCCGATGGGTTTGTGGGTCTATACCGCGGCTAATGAGCTTGCGTTTGATGTGTGTGTTCCAGTAGTTTTTGATCTCGTTGTCTGTTCTTCCAGGCAGCCTCCCGGCTATCAAAGACCACCTGAAAAAATAAATAATTAATTAATTAATAACTCGAAGTTTCTTAATATTTTCACCAAACATTGTGTATTCTATTAGACTAACTTAACCATTAACTCGACATTCTTTTTACACAAATATACGTAGTTTCATCACGGTAAAAAAACAACATAAATAACATTTAATGGTATAACTACACATTTTTAATCACGTATGTCTTGTTGACCTAACCATTAGTTCGACACACTTTATTTAGAAAATGTCATATACTATAAATAACAACATATACACATATAAAATGACATTTAAAAATATATAATTTCGTCTACCGTATGTCTAGACTGTCTCACATAAAAATTTGTATTCACACCAGTAAATATAGAAACTAGAAAGTGAAAATGTTTATGGACATGCAGTTTCCATACATGTGATTATGCAAGTGTCTTACACTGTCTCAAGCAAGAATTTATTTTCACATATAGAAAAGTGAAAATGTTTATGGACATGCAGTTTTCATGTATGTAATTATGTAAATGTAAAATCTGGTCCTCAATTCTACCATGGTCAAAAATAAATTTGCCACCATCCAGATTAAGCCAATAATTTTGTTTTTTAAAAGTAACAAGGGTACAACATTTCAACCAACAACCCCAAATCCAAAATAAATAAATAAACAAATAAATAAAATATAAAAAAATTGAAAAAAAAAAACTGAAATTAAATAAGGGCACATCACACATACTTATTCCCAAGAAGGCTATGGAGTTTGACAATAATCTCATCTTCTTCTTCAGTAAAATTGCCCCTTTTGAGGTCAGGCCTCAGGTAATTTATCCACCTCAGCCTGCAGCTTTTCCCACATCTAAGCAATCCTAAAATCACATTAAATGTAAAAAAATAAAAAATTCTATTAATTCCCAAAAAAAAAGGTAACAAATTAAAATTGTTTAGAGCATGCATAAAGTGATTGTACCTGCGGCTTTTGGGAGGGAACGCCAGCAGCCTTCGCCGTGGGCGCGGATGTAGTTGATTAGGCGCTGGTCCTCCTCTTTGGTCCAAGCGCCTTTGTTGGTGTGGGCTTTTTCGCAGCAAGGAGATCGGCCCATGGCCTAAAAACGTTTCTTTAAGACACGCGACTCTTAAGGATTGATTGGAGATTTTTTCTTTATGTAGTGA